CTAACAGAAGTAGTGATGACAGAGGAGCATAGAAAAAAAAAAAAAAACGGGCATATAAGCCCACATATTTTGAGATTAACTCAGTGAACAGATCAAACTGGCAAGATAAAAACAGAAGCAATGCAACCGAATGAAACAGAAAATGTTAAATGTTTCCACTGCTGCAGGTAAAGCCACATTGTTAAAGACTGTTTCAAGAAAGAAAACAAGCAAGCACAGTACTTTAACTGCAGATTAAAAGGCCATATATACCATGATTGTAGGTGTCCACAGTTGGAGATTTTGTAAAACACCTAGGTCTAAAACCTTATATATCCAGCAGAAGAACAAAATGTAGGAGATTAAACACAAAACAAAAAACATGTAATTCCAACCAGAATTAAAAAGGAACTAGAAGTAATTCTAGCAGTAGTAGTAAGTAGAGTGAGTGTACGTATGGTTAATGATATTTTGCCAGATAGAAGACATAGCATGTTGGTTATTAACACTATAGTGTATGAATCACTTGTAATGTTTACTGACAATAAGCCAAATTTTGTGAAATTATGCAAACATTATAAAAAGTTATAGCATGACTACTCTCATGGTTACATTGGTCGTTATGAGCCGGGTGAATTCCACCCATCCCTTAGTTAAACTTAATAGACACAGGCATTAAATCTTCTCTGCTAAATGTAGATCTGGTGAAAAAATATCCAACATTATTAGACAATGCAGGAAAAGAAGTTTCAAAAAGTATTTTAACTTTTATTACAGTATATCCTGTAACATTAGATTCAAAACTTGAACATTCGTTTTACATCTGAAAGCAGATACTTAGAAACAAAAGGAATATCAGGGTAAGATTTTTTTATTACCAGAGCTATGCATAGAAATGGAGTTCTTAAGTTTTGAAGGTGTTATTCCTTTAGACTTACATGCTAAGGTCAAAACTGATAACTTCATGTCGACTCAAACATGCAGTCAAATGCCAAACAATTGAAATATGCAAAGTAGTGAAGCTAATCATCAGAATTCAAAACTCGGGGTTCTAATCAACCTGAACTCCTGGGTCCTGTACGGATAAGAATTTGTCCATAATAAGGAGATCAACTCCATCCAAAACCAGTGGAACTAGGAAAGGATCATCCAGTCCATGGTAGGAAAGATGTCCTCTACCATTCACCTCAGGCTCAGGAACCAGAAGGGAAGGTGCACATCCAACATAACCAACACCTGTTACCCTGGGAACTGACATCTGGATGATGGTAGGAAGGTGGAATGCAATGTGGAGGTTCAACCTAATCCAAGACTATGTGGTAGAAAAGGGTCCCAGCCAACTCACATGTGAGGACTTATCTTGGCTGGTCCCACTCTAATCCAACACCATATCTCCCAGGAACCACCTTCCAGGTGGCAGTAGGATGAGGGGTCCTAGTCAGAGGAGTGAACTGAATTATGGTGGATCATCTCCTGTCCATGACCAGATGGTGCCAGGTATTCCACAATGAGGCCATACTAGGAGGAGGGTTCTACACCATCTACAATGGCAGAACACCACCACCCTACTCTCAACTGAGTGGTATTGAGCATGCAGAAGGAAAACTTTATGGTCCA